CACCACAGAGGCTGGCCTTAACCTTGACGAAGGGAGAGTCGCAATAAAATAAGGATTTTTTGGTAAGGTCATGAAACAATTCTTTGTGGCGTAAGCTGAATTGGTCCAAGTAAACCTGTAAAGGTACATCACATATGTAAAAGGAAAAAACGCAAAATGTCAACAATGAAACGAATTTGACACAACTCGCCTCTTGATTCTGGAGATATTTTTCAGCCTACTTCAGAATACTCTCTTGCGAACGTTAGTGTGCTTGGGAGAAGTCTGCTCTGCTTCTGTTTCTTCTTCAATCTTGACACGTGTGGCAGTCTTCTCAATGGCTAAAGTATTTTCCTTCATACATCCACTCTTACCAAATATTCTAACATCAAAAATAGAATTTCCATTGTATCTAAAAACTAAGAAGTCTCCGAGCTCTATAGAATAATGATTCACAATGCTTTGCCAGCCATTCTTAATAAAGACACCATTTTCAACATCTTCCATCTCCACATGCCAAAATTTCCCGCAGAGATCTTTAAGGATGGCCTTAGTTGGTATTGTTCCATTAAAATGCTTGACAAAATCTGGTGGTACACACTGCAAAAAAGAGATATTTAACTTTACTAGTTACAAATTCAAAGAGCAGATAAACTATTCAAACTGCAACTAGGAAAATTTTCTACCTATGATTTGCATTCAAATTTTCACCATCACCCTAACCCAATTTTATTTTAATAAGAAAGTATGATAGAAAAAATATGGCCCTGTTTCTCTTCCGATAAAAGAGGCACTCCCGTTTGGATTTGGTGGCTCAGAAATTCAGGAAAAGGAATGAAATTAACGTTTAAATATTATACATCAAAAATTCGGGACCATAGCAAACAAAACCACAATGAGGGTTAGTTTAATGAGCTATGTTTTTAATCTGTATCTCTGGAAATCCAAACATTGGAACCAGCAACTTTAGGAAGGGTAATTTTACTGAAATATAATTTGATAGAATCTGAAATAATTGAATAAAGCAAAGATATACAGCCCCAAACAACAGAACAAAATTTCCATTTCTCTCACTAGTCACTAATTTGTGTATAACATGTCTTCCTCTAATAGGAGAGCACGACAGATTGTGCAAGTTGGAGGCATATAATCCATAAAAGTTTCGCCTTCTTGATAATCTTGAAATGTAGAAAACTAACACTAAAGTATTTTGCTTAGAGACCTTATTTATCAACAGATTTGAAATTGTTCAGAAACTCATTGAGCAACATTCCAGTTTCATATATAGGATCTTGCAAACAAAACCACCATTTTACACAAGTAATCTAAGTATTGTGTATATTTTATATACCTTGATCTGTATAATATATGTATAAATCATTATTTTATACTCATACTATATGACTTAAGGTGTAATGGGAACTCAACTCAGCTATATGACTATCCGATACTTAGGTGTCATTTGATAACCCAATTAAGTCCTTAGCAATAACACTAAAAAATTTCAGTGCTTAAATTTAAGTCAATAGTGACTTGACTTAATAAAATGTGACAAGTGAAAGGGGATTCAAAATGTAGGGTAAATTACATTGACCTCCCCTAATGTTCAGCAAAATTGCATGGACCGACCTTGTATTTTCAAAAATTATACTAACCTTCCCAATAAGAAACGTATGTTTGATGGTGTTAATGTTCAGTTTGGTTTTACGAAGATATGTTATATATCATTAATGTTACATGGACATGGACCTTTCCAAGCTCACGTGCGGCCTTAGACACTTTCAAACCCCCTTGAAGTGCTAAGTCAGCCTACCCGAGTGTGCCAGTGAAGACTAAGGCTAGACAAGTGCTTTGCTTACTTGGGTGTGTAGGAAGAGATTAGGCAAGTGAGCAAGAGAGTTTGGGAATGTATGAATACTTTTATTACTTGAGAGGAGATTACAACTTAGGTTGCTTGGTGAGGAGCAAATGAACTCCCACCTCATATTTATAGGCCTTTGGCCCTCACAAGAACATTCTAGATGTGTACAGATGTGTGGCCTAGAATAAGTGTTTAGAATCCTCTAAAGAACTATTTACACAATTCTAGAACTATATACAATGTTCAAGACAAGTCTAGAGAATTTTATACAACTCTAGACAAGTCCAGAAAAGGCTAGACAAGTCCACACTAATCTAGAGAATTCTGAAAAGTTCCATACTTATGTGAAGAAGTCTAGAAAGCTCTCGGTCCATGCAGGCTCCATATCATCGTCTGCTGGGCGTCTGTGTGGCGCTTGCGTGGCATAACCTCTTGGTTGCGGGGCGTGACATTCTCCCCCACCTAAGCTCGCAACACCCTTGTCGCTTCTTCTTGCTTGAACCGCTAGATATGCTTCGCGAACTGCCAAAGTTTATCCTAATGCTTCAGCTCACCTCGCTATCTGACATGTTCTTCCATTTTACTAAGTATTCTACATACTTGGGCATACCTCTCCTACTCATCACACGACCTGTAAGGATGCAATCAACTTCTTTATCGAAGGATGTGACAACGGCCGTGGGTGCCCTCTGCAATATGCCCCGAGTAACGTCTTCTATGTCTTCGTGATAAGGCTTGAGCATGCTGACATAGAAGACTAGATGTATCTTCAACTTGGGTGGAAGCTCAACCATGTAGGAGACCTTGCCCACCCACTTGACAATGGGGAATGGGCCCTCATACTTCCTTACTAACCCCTTATGTACGCTTCGGAAGGACTTAAACTGTTGGGGTAGTAGCTTAACCATCACCTGGTCTCCCACTGTGTACTCCACCCCTCTTCGCTTGGTGTCGGCCCACTTTTTCATCTTCTTTGCCGCCTTGTTAAGGTACGCCCTAGCCAAGTTGGACTGCTCGTGCCACCTCTTGGCAAATTTGTAGGCCGTTGGACTCTTACCATCACAAGTCCTAGCAATGGCATTAAGTGTCATAGGTTGCCGTCCGGTATCAACCTCAAAGCGACTGTGATTGGTAGCCTCACTCCGCTCCAAGTTGTAAGAAAACTATACCCCCCCAAGGAGTTTGGTCCAATCTCGCTAGTTGGTACTTACATAGTGCCGCAAATAAAGGTCCAGGTGAGCATTGATGCGCTCCGTCTGCCCATCTGATTGGGGGTGGAAGCTCGTAGAGAAGTTGAGATCCGTCCCCATCTTTTTGAAGAGTCCGTCCAAAACCTACCCGTGAAGCGCTGGTCTCTATCACTGACAATATTTTGCGGAACCCCCCAAAGCTTGACCACCTGGTCAATAAACAACTCTGCTACCCTCTCTGCTGTGTAATCTGCTAGTGCGGGTATGAAGGTGGCATACTTGCTAAATCGATCTACCACTACTATAATGCTCCCACAACCTTCTGACTTGGGCAAGCAAGTAATGAAATCTATAGAGACGCTCTCCCATGGTCTCTCTGGAATAGGCAATGGCTCCAGTAGGCCTGCGGGATGCTGTTGCTCAATCTTGCCTTGTTGGTACACAAAACAAATCCTTACATATGTCTCCACATCATCGTACATTCGAGGCCAATAATATGAATCTTCAAGGAGTGTTAGTGTGCGTCGCATACCTAGGTGACCAGCCCATTTGGTGGCGTGGCACTCCCGTATCAGCTCCTTTCGCAAGTTACCCCACTTGGGCACAAAGAGTCGGTCCCTTGTGGTGAGAAATAAGTTATCCCTTAGCCAAAAGCGTTGAGTCTTTCCTTCCTTAGCCAACTGAATAAAGCTCTTGGCTAGAGGGTCATACTGCAACCCCTCCTTGATCCACTCCATAAGAGGGTGTTGGGGCCGACTAATAGCTGTGAGCTCGACCTTGCGACTAAGCGCATCTGCCACAACATTGGCTTTGCCCGGCTTGTACTCAAAATGATAAGTGAACTCCGCTAGGAAGTCCTGCCATCGTGCTTGTTTGGGGCTAAGCTTTTTCTATGTCTATAAGTAGCTGGTGGCAACATTATCTATCTTGATCACAAATTGTGCCCCGAGCAAGTAGTGCCTCCAAGTACATAGGCAATGGATAACTGCCATCATCTCTTTTTCCTGCACCGTATAATGCCGCTCGATGTCATTGAGCTTGCGGCTCTCATAGGCTATGGGGTGTTCTTCTTGCATCAACACGCCCCCAACAGCAAAGTCTGATGCATCTGTGTGCACCTCATATGTCTTGGAGTGGTCGGGTAAACTAAGTACTGGTTCCTCCGTGACTGCCTTCTTCAAGTCGTCAAATGCCCCCCGGTATGACTCTATCCAACTCCAAGTGCGCGCTTTCTTGAGAAGGTCTATCAATGGGGCTACTCTTGTAGAGTAACCCTTAATAAAGCGGAGGTAGTAATTGACAAGCCCAATAAATGAGCATAGCTCTGTCACCTTAGTGGGCGGCTCCCACTCTTGAATGGCCCTCACATTTACCTCATCCTTCATCAGCTTGCCATCCCGTATCTTATGCCCTAGGAACAATACCTCCTCTTGGGCAAATGAACATTTTTCCGTCTTCACATATAGGTCGTTCTCCCGTAAGACTTGGAAAACCGCCCTCAAGTGATGCACGTGCTCCTCTAAAGTGGTGTTATACACAACAATGGCATCCAGGTACACAACCACAAAATGATCCAAATAGGGATGGAAGAGCTTGTTCATCAAAGTACAGAAAGTAGTAGGTCCATTGGTGAGACCAAATAGCATAACTAGGAATTCATAAGAGCCATACCTCGTCACATATGTAGTCTTAGGCTCATCCTCGTCCGCTATCTGCACCTGATAGTACCCTGAGCGCAAGTCTAGCTTAGTAAAGTAGCGTACTCCACCAAGTTGATCAAAAAGATTAGCAATGAGAGGAATGGGGTACTTGTTCATGATAGTCACCTTGTTTAGCGCCCGGTAGTTTATGCGCATGCGCAAGGACCCTTTCTTCTTCCTCTAGAACAACACCGGTGTGCCATATGGGGCCTTCGAGGGTCAAATATAGCCCGCAATATCTAATAGCTCCTTGAGTTGCCTCCGCAACTCCTATAATTCTAGGGGTGCCATCCGGTAAGGCACCAAATCAGGGGGTTTAGACTCCAGTTCCAGCTCAATCTTATGATCCACCTCCCTCTTAGGTGGAAGCTTCTTGGGCAGTTCCTTAGGCATCATGTTCGTATACTCGTCTAGTATAGCTTGTATCTCCTTAGGCACCTCTTCTTGTGGAGGAGGGATTAACTCATCATCGGGTGTCTCCAGTAACGTAGCAAGGTAGTTAGTCTCTCCTTTCTTAAAGCCCTTCTTGAACTACATAGCTGACAAGGCTTAGGCTTCCAACTTGGCGCCTCGCTCCATCGGCACCATGCATGCTGTGTTGCCTTCCATAATACACATAGTATTAGTGAAAGGAATGGGGAAGGCTCTCACCTTGTCTAAGAATTCCAACCCAAGAACTAGCTTGAATTCGTCCATAGGTACCACCGATAGGTCCATATAGCCACCCCACTCGCCAATGCATGCTTTGACTCCGTGTGCCATGCCATGTATAGTCTTTGCCGCTGAGTTAACTGCCTTCATGGAGCCCCCTTCTTTACTATATTGGAGGCCCAACCTCCTAGCCTCATCAATGCTCACAAAGTTATGGGATGCACCCGTATCCACCAAAGCACGTGTGGGTGTCCCATTGATGCTCGCCTCCACGAACATTAGCCCCTTAGCCGCCACCTTAGGGACTTCAGTTTTAGCCTTGATGGCATTAAGGATTTGCAGTGAACCCATCTGTGCTTCCTCCTGTTGTTGCTCTTCGTAGCAGCTCGTCATGGCATTGAGGGTTTTCCTCTTTGGGCAATCTCTCACCCAATGTGGTCCGTCACATATGAAGCATGAGCCCTTGGGCTTGGATGGTCCCTCCTTATTCTCCCGTCCCTCTTTGCCTCCATAGCCACCACCTGGCTTACGGGACCAATCCTTGTATGGTGCAGCGTCCTTGTCTCCCCCACCTTTGCCAGCCTACCGCCCCTTGTCCTTGTCCTTTGGCTTAAACGAGGGTTCCTTCTTAGAGTTAAAATAAATAAAGGACTCCGCCTCTACAATAGTCGTGGCAAGGTCTTACACGTTGCGCCGCCTCAACTCTGTCTTGGCCCACAACTGAAAACCATCCATGAAGAAGAAAATAAAGTCCTTGTTGGATAAATCCGGGATCTCAAAAGTCAGGTTAGTGAATTCCTTCGCATTGTCCCGAATCGACCCAACTTGTTTTAGCCTTCGGAGTCTGCCCTTGGCTTTGTCCTCAGCATTCTCAGGATAGAAATACTTCTTAATTTCTCTCATAAAATCAGCCCAAGTATCAATAGAGACCGTACCTTTGCCCATGTCTCCATACTTTTTCCTCCACCATAGCATCGCATGGCTGGTGAGGTAGAGTGTTGCCGTGCGTATCTTGATGGTCTCATTTGTCATGCCCATAGCCTCAAAGTATTGCTCCATGCTAAAGAGGAAGTTCTCCAACTCCCTCGCTACCCGGTTCCCACCATAGAACTTAGGCTTGGGAATATCAACCCAGGGTGCTATTACCCCCGTAGTAGCTGTGCCGGATGCCACCACCCGCTTGTACAAGGCCTAATCTGCTCGCATTTTCTCCATTTGCTCACAGAAAGTGCCATGCTCCCGATCAACATAGCCACGTAGGGTGGCAAACTCGCCCAACATAAGTTCCCGAAGTGCTTGGAGCTCCTGCCGAAAGTCACCACTTAGGGCATTGAGGGACCCTTTGACAGCATCCTGGACCTTAACGTCCTCCGATTCTAGCTCGTCCATGTGCTGTTGAGCATCCTCAAGTTGCCCCTTCACGTTGGCCATTGACTCCTCTATGCTTGCCAAACGTGCCTCTAAGCCGACGACGATGTCCTTTGACTTAGCCCTTGTCTTCGGTCAGACTAGAAGGCAACTTAGCTCCCTAACACGCAACTCCTCCTCGTGGACATTAATCAAGTCTGATTGCTCTGCTATAGCTTCCTTCACATAAGGTGTGATGCCTCACGACCTTGGCTCTGATACCAACTATCACGGACTTGGACCTTTCCAAGCTCACGTGCGGCCTTAAACACTTTCAAGCCCCCTTGAAGTGCTAAGTCAGCCTACCTGAGTGTGCTAGCTTAGTGAAGACTAAGGCTAGACAAGTGCTTTGCTTACTTGGGTGTGTAGGAAGAAATTAGGCAAGTGAGCAAGAGAGTTTGGGAATGTAGGAACACTTGTATTACTTGAGAGGAGATTACAACTTAGGTTGCTTGGTGAGGAGCAAATGAACTCCCACCTCTAATTTATAGGCCTTTGGCCCTCACAAAAACATTCTAGATGAGTACAAATGTGTAGCCTAGAATAAGTGTCTAGAATCCTCCAAAGAACTATTTACACAATTTTATAACTATATACAATGTTCAAGACAAGTCTAGAGAATTCTATACAACTCTAGACAAGTCTAGAAAAGGCTAGACAAGTCCACACTAATCTAGAAAATTCTAGAAAGTTCCATATTTGTGTGGAAAAGTCTAGAAAGCTTTCGGTCCATGCAGGCTCTATATCATCGTCTGCTAGGCGTTTGTGCGGCGCCTGCATGGTATAGCCTTTTGGTTGCGGGGCGTGACACAGGGCTCTAAACAATTTATGTGTCAGTTAACCACCAACCAGGAAATGCAAGTGACCAATAATAGGCAAAATACCACCGGCTTAAGGCAAACCACAACTCTTCCTTGTACAAGTAGATTGTTTCTTTCTGTACACAAAGACTAGCATAGCAAGGAGGCCAGAGACCAAAGTTATGAGGTATAAGAGAAGAGGCCGGATCCATCAGAGTTGGTAGTGTGGCAGTAGCAGATGAGGTTCAGTTTATCTAAAGCTGACTTCCACATATATATCGAGCCTTATTATAGTTCTCAAGTCTTTTATTTTCTTTAAAAGATAAGATTAGCTATGTAACGACCTGAACCCGGAGGCCCGAACCGTTAACCAGGTCTTTACTCGAACCCGAGGTTATCTACATCAAACTCATCATTTCTAGCGTCAAACGTCACCTTTTGGGTCATCATTAAGTTTTCATAAGGGCTTAAAACAAATCCCCAAGAGTCGAGAGTAGAATAACAAGAAGGAAGAACAAAATAACCTAAACAGGTGCACTTCGGTCGACCGAAGTGGAGTTTTGGTCGGTCGAAGCAGACCCTCAAGAATCGGTCGGCCGAAATCCTCCATCGGTCGACCGAAAGGTGAGATCCTAAGAGCTAGTAAATGGTTCGGTCGATCGAACCCTATTTTGGTCGACCGAAATAGGAGATCCCGAGAGTTTAAAGATGAATCGGCCGACCGAAATGGCTCTGTCAAGCCTGGAACCTGATGCTGAGATACGGCACTTTGAGAAAGAGAAGAAACTGGAATGGAAACCTTGCAAAAACTCCAAACTTGTCCCATGCAACAAAGAATGAGGTTTTCTACAATCATGGACGAGAGTACAACATATAATCATAGTAGCAAAGTCATACCACATAAAGTTTAGGCATGGAATTTACACCTTGAATAATTTTGCATCAAAATAGAGCTATGGTTCATGGTTAGGTCACTAGGCCATATACAATGGCTTAATTACATTTCCATCCACTAAGGATACAATTGAGTGACCTAGATACAAAATAACAAAATGAAGGGCTTCCAATACTCCGTCAATTCTGTGGGGGATTGTCATCCACCAATTCTTTGCCATTACTTGAAAAATGTTAAGTATAATGGGGTGAGCGAATCGATCAGCAGACGGCACTTAAGACACACCTCTTGTGTCTCCGTAAATCTAAACAAAGAATAGGATAATGGAAAGCGAGATCATATCATGTCGAGAAAATACAACATCATATCCAATCTCAACATAAACAATACGATGCAATGTAAATGCAATGCATGCCGATTTCGTTCCTCATTTTCAACATTCAAATCCGTCACTTTTCAAACCGTTAATGTAACCCCCTTTGGTACCCCCTCAGCACTGAGAGAAGGATTGGCTACTGTCCCTAACCGTTTGTTCCTCCGTAACGTCATTTTGGGCCCAGATAGCTCAACCACGCTAAGGCAATCTCCCTACTTCCCTCTAGGTTACATTAACCTACCGGCCCTTTAATGACTCTGCGGAGACTGGGTTTTCATAAAACCAATTTAATCAAAACTTCTTCCCAAATAACCCCTTTTTCATTTCAAAACACTTGTTCCCATTTCCTTCCCAATGCTATGCATGAATGTTTCATGCTATATGTGTAATAACCCTAGTTTTCAAAAGGATAAAATTGGAATTTAAATTTGTTTCTATGTGTCAAATTGTTTATTGAATAGTGGTTTATTTTGTTTTACTTAAATGAATTATTTTTTTTATTGTTTGTGTTTGTTTGAATTAATTAATTTATTTAAATTTGATTTTGCTTTTCTGTAGTTACATTAATTGTGTTTATGGACTTAGTGTTTAAGAATTTAATTGGCATTATTTGAATTAGTTGCATTTATTACATTAGTGGATTTAACTTGTGTGAAGGTGTGTCCTTAAGTGTTTTTATAATTTTTATTTATTATTATTTTTTTATATAATTGGGTAATTAAGTTAACTAAGTGTCTTTATTTCGTTATTTATTTACAATCTTTTGGAAGTCACGTATGTAGGTGCCGTAGATGACAACTGTGGTTTTGTTTCTATGGGCCGACTGGGGTGGGAATTACAGAGAGAGATAAAGGGAGAAAGTCTAGGGTTTTGCCTTAGGCTAGGGCTGAACCAAGGAGGAGGAGGAGCAGAGGTTGGCTTGTGGGTAAAACCAAGAGCAACAGAGGTGGAACGGTTGTCGGAGATTTCATCGGAAAATTCAGAGACGGTTAAGGCAAGTTCTTTCCTTTCTCTCTCCCGTTGCCTGTGTTCTGTGCATCCTTAGACTGTCTCTAGGGTTTTAATTGATCAATAATTAAATTATACATGTTTGTTATATGCTAAATCAGATGTCTATATGTGTGGAATTATTCTGTTAAAGTTCTGGTACCTCTGGTTTGCAATTTGGAGTGGAAGCATGTTTAATTGGTTAAGGTTTTAAACACTGTAATTGAATTGAACGATTATGAACAAGTCATGGGGATGTTAATGGGATGTTATAAGACCTTAGGTTCAGTTTTGAAGAGGAGCAGAGGGGTTGGAATGGAACTGTAGTTGCAAGATTGTATTCAGTGTTTGATCGTAAAAGCGTGTTAAGACGATTGTTGTTTTTGTTGTTGTTTTAATTCCTACTACTATAGCAAACTGATGGGATGCTACTGGGTGTTAATTAAACTCCTAAGATCAGTTTTAAAGACCAACAAAGTGTTAGGAATAGACCAGAGGTGAAGAGGACGGACTGAAACAAAGCAGGAACGGACTGAAGTTCGCAGAAAGGGAAAGAGACGGCTCCACGGAGGGAGGAGACGGCTCCCCCATGAGTAGAGCCTGCTCTAGAGGAAGTAGAGCAAGCTCTACCTCTAAAAGAGGCGGCACTAGGCAGGTTAGAGCCTGCTCCATTTATTTGGAGAAGGCTCTATGATCCTATTTTGTGTTCTGGGGCTGTTTGTGTGTTGTTTGGTTCGATGGTGGTTTTTCTGAGCTGTGTTTGGGTTAGGGAGATGGATTTATATATTAATTCAAGAAATATTAAAGCCCTAGGATGTATTAATTTATTTATATGCTAAGGTTTTAAACCGTAGGAAAATCTAAGGCAAGACGCAGGCAGTTTACGGACTTAGCGGACCGAAAGGACTTAATTGTGCAAACTGCGTCTGGAAATTAAAAAGAGTTGGAACATGGATTCCAAGCATTATATTATGCTATACTAGAGCCATGTTTAATAAATTAAGGTCTTTATACTCAGGGGTTTAAGTGTGGGAAGGTATACAACAGTGCAGGTTGTTAACGAATGAAAGAAGTTTAATTGTTTTTTTTTAGTTTAGCAATTTAACGGAATATGTATATATTTATAAATCTTGTTGGGGTGCCATGCTAGGATAATTTAATTAACAAGTTTGATCTAGGCATATCCTGGATGTTAATTGTTGAAATACTAAATACTTTTCTAGAATGCATGGACTTAAGCTTGTAATCTTAATTGCGGTAACATTAAGCATTTCACTGCAATTACTTCGATTAGGGTTTGGACTTAAATTGCTGAACTAGTACTTAGGTTCTGTCAATCTAATTGGATGTTGGCCTGGAATTAATTGAAGAATTAAATATATATTTTCTGTCAATTACAGGGATGAATGCTGGAATTTAACTTGACGAATTAGTAAACTTTGTCTTGTTTGATTACATGGATGGATTCTGGATTTGTAGTTGATAACTTATTTAAATTATGTGTTTATCAACTATTTGGATAATGTGGACTTTATTTGATGTACTGCTTATATTGTTGTATCATTTACGGATCATATGCATGGTATGTACTGGTATGGGACGGTGACATACGGAGGGACGGATTAGATCAAAACGCTAATTCCAACCCATTCATACATACGGAATGGATTAACTAAAACAGTTAAATCCTACCTGGTTTCATGTCCTGTCAACTAAAATAGTTGAACGACATATTGGATGGTTGTTTATATTTTCTGTTAATGGGAAGGATAGGGATTTAATTAAAATATTTAAATCCCACTTATATGTTGTGTTTTGGCGACGAATAATTGACCGGCTCAACATTGTATTTGGATGGGTTGTATATACACTTAATGTATGTTAGTTTGTGCGGCTGAACAAGTTGAACGACTAGCTGGATTTCTTATGGTTGGATAGGATCGGACTTTATATATATAATTATGGTACCGCGATCTGAGCTTGAGTCTCATAGTCGACGGTTAGGGAGCGTATATGCAGTAGGATGCGTAGCTAGCTATGTTGGTTGAGGTATACCCTGTTAGGCTTAGGTAGTCATGCCCACTCAGGTGCGTATTGCATGTTACCTTCTATTCAGGTTGAGACCCTCATCATAGTTAGTGAGAGTCCTGTAGTGTGGTTATATGTATATATCTATTTATGGACTATATAGATATGGTTGAGACATCTAGGATGCATCTGCGTATCGGGTCTCTGTTTGGATTGTAGTTAGGATAGAACTTGTTCGTGGGCCTGACCCACTATTATTTTTTAGGTAACGGACAGTTCCAGGTCTTAGAGCTTGTTCGTGCTGAGCAGAGACGTCTACTCATTCTACCGACGATGTAAGAGGTTCTTCATGGTTTAGCAGTGGACTTCTTTTTAGTTGTTCGCTTTCTAGTATTGGCATTTGATTAGGGGTCCACCAGATGGATTCCCGAGTTGTATTATAATTGGAGAAGTTGGATGTAACAGACTAGTTCTTATTTATAAGATTTATTCTGAAGTTTTCAATAAAGGATTTTCATTTAGTTTCTTTCCAGCGAATTTTATTTACTCATGTTTATCTTAATTGTATTCTGTATTCGATTATTGCTAATTGTTTTGATATCCACGGATAGTCGGGCGTGGGCCTGGCTAACCCGCATTCGGAAATCCGGGGGTATCACAATATGGTTCAACATTCTACAACAAATTTAATATTTAACCATACATCATACTATACAAGAATTTCTAAAGGAGTACAACATGGTTTTCTCACACAATATGAACTAAACACATAAACACACTTTCCACTTAGTAGTGTTAACGAGTTATCAAGCACATAAGTATATAAAATCAACAATTAAGCATGCTTTTCACATCAATCTACTCACATACTTAATCATGAATTCCACATGCAAAAATCAAATCATTTTAGAAGTATTCTTCTCAAATTAAGCATGCTTAGTTACGAATAACAAAGATTAATTCACAAGGGGGCAAGAAACTCATGAATTAGAAACCCCTACCTTAAGTTTGCACAAAACCCTCAAAATGGGTCTCAAATTTCAAAATTCCTATGGAGCACCAAATCTGAAATTGCTGGTATGGATTTGAAGGCCTCGTCATGGGCTTCGATTTGCCACAAACAGCTTCCAAAAACTCCAAGTATCGAAGGTGGAATCTAGACTTAAAGTTTGGTACAAAAATGAAAAAGAAAAATGAAGAAGAGAAGAGAGGAAGAGAGGGTTGCGGGAGAGTGAAAGATTTTAGAGACCAAAATGTGGTCTAGTGGCGGGTCCCGCTTATTTTCTTTTCTTTTCTCTTTTTCTTTTGTCTCCATTATACACCACACACAAAAAAAAAAAAATGCACAATTAACATGCAATCAATACATAAAATAATTATAATGCAAATGGACCCAACTAAAATCCCATACGCAAAACGTGAAAAGACTAAATTGCCCTCGAATCAACGAAATTCTGAAAAAACGAAAATGCTGAAAATTGGAAACATCACAAGCTGAGTCACTGTTCTTTATTTAAAGAAAATGAAATAGTCAAGACTTTCAGCACACAATTTAAAAATATGTTGTAGGACTATCACTCTGCTTTGTTTAAACCATTTCCCAAAGGTACCGGTCATGTGTAGTGGATCTAGACACCAAAGTATAGCTTTGCCATGTTGCAAGTAGACCTGTCAATGGTTCGGATTTTGATCCGAATCCAATCCGTTTAGTCGGATATGGATTTAGCATCAAATCCGATAACCTGATAATGATCCGAATCCGATAACCCGATAACTTAACAAATCGGATTTGGATTAGGTTGATCCGATCCGTTAATAATCCGATCCGATTAAAATAATATATTATTATATTTATATTTTATTATATATATATATTATTATTATATATATCATATATCATACGCCCTCCGTCCCAAAATAAGTGTCATACTTTCCTTTTTTATCTGTCCCAAAATAAGTGTCCACCTTCCTTTTTTAAACAATATATTTTACATCTTTTCATATATGCCCTTTGAGTTTTAAATTTCAAATTTGAACATTCATAACTTAAAAGGGTAATTTAGTAACTTTCTAGGGTGATAATGCATGTCCCACATGTCCCCATAAAAATTACTACTCCCCAAACATGACACTAAAATTGGGACGGAGGGAGTATAAGATTTGTATAGATTTAATAATAAAAAATTAAATTAATCACAATGTTATATATATAATACTACCGTGTTTCCACCCTTATAGTAATAAATCTTTTGCCTATTGATTCAAGCCACAAGAACAAAACTCAGGCCACTGTAAAGTCTGTATTGCATTTGTGTTTCCAGTCAGATAATCGCTGGTGAAAGGCAAGTCATCGATCTACTGCCAGAAGGGAGAAGGGGGGGGGGGGGGGGGGTCAGCGACTGCTGGAGTAATTTCTTGTTAGTTATTTTCTCTCTTTTTTTCTTCTATTTGTCCTTTTTCTTTTCTTACAAATGTCCACCCTGTCTTCTATTTTGAAATCATAGATTCATAGCATTCCCTGTATAACTCAAGTACTTTATGTGAGTAAGAAATTTTTCTTTGTGGATTCTTTGATTTAATTAGAAAGCCCTAATTTTCCAGTAAAAGTTACTTCATCATTTTCTTCCTTCTTCACGTTCTTCTTCCATCTCTCCCTCTTTTTCCTTCTTTGATACAAAACCCATTTATCTCTCTCTTTGTTACCCTAATTTTGTATCAATTTGCTTGATTGTGTTTTTGTAAACGGATCGGACATCCGATAGAGTGAATTTCGGATATGGATTGACTATGCAAGAATCTGTCGGATTGCCGGATCGGATCGGATTGCTTATTATGCTTATCGGATTCGGATCGAATTGACCGTGATCCGGTCCATATCCGTTCCATTTACAGGTCTAGTTGCAAGTCAACATACATTAATAATATTGGCTATGCCTACCGAATCCCCCCATCAACTATACTTCAAAGTTTGGGAATTAAGAAACTATATTTCAAGAGAGACTTAAAAGTCGTTCCTAATCTCAAGATGTGCATATTGATGTTGTCATAGATCAATAAAAAGGTCTTATTTCTTTTTTCACAAAATATAAAGAAAATGGATTTAAATTCACTATTATTTCAGCTAAAGAAATTGCTAATGAAATGGAAATAGAACCTGTTTTTTATAAATAAAAAAAAACTTATAATTCGTAGAAAAAAAATAATTTGATGAGAATGTAGATGATAAGCCAACTCAATCAGTCGAAGAATATTCTTTTAGGATCGATTATTTTTTATATATAGTTGATCAAACTATTTCTTCAATTCATAGTAGGTTTGAACAATTTAAAATATATGAAGACATTATTAGTTTTTTGTTTAATTTCAAAAAGCTAAAATCATTAGATGATGATAGTTTGAAAAAATATTGTCATAATTTATATATTGATGGTTTTGATTTATTTTCAGAATTAAAAGTTTTAAAAGAAATTTTATACATAGAAACAAACACTCCAATTGAAATATTAAATTATATTAAAAGATTAGATTCTTTTCCAAATACATGCATTGCTTATAGAGTATTATTGACAATACATATAATTGTTGTGGTAGCAGGAAGAAGTTTTTCGAAATTATAGTTGATAAAATCATATCTACGATCAATTATGTCACAAAAAAAAAAATAAATGGATTGACTATATTGTTTATTGAAAAAGATATTTTAACCACACTTAAATATAAGAATTTAATTAGTAAGTTTGCATCTCAAAAAACAAGAAGGATGATTTTCAATTACTTATTATTTAATAATTAATATATTACATATTATAATATAAAAAGACCACTTTTTTTTTTTTTTTTGCCTAAGGACCGAGTTACATCCAACCGCCCATGGTTATGACCAATAAGGTCAAGCTATGCTCATATGAAATTGTAGAAACTACTACACTTTGTGAATATGCAATCAAAAGGACAAAAGACCATATTTATTGTAATACAAGATTGGTGGTTTTGTCTATGTAATCATTCAAGTTCAGTGTCCATAGAACTTGGAATCAAGACGTGGAGTAAGTAGAACTTCAAGTGGTGTTGCTTTCAGATTTGTGAGTCCTGGGCTTTCGCTCATATCCACATCTTCGTGGGATGGCTTGGCTACATCAAAGCACTGCAGCAAGCTAGCCAGTGTGAGATGCACGGTCTGGAGCGCAAGCGTTATTCCCGCGCACGAGCGCCTCCCTGAGCCAAACGGAAGGTACTCGAAGTTCTGACCCCTCACGTCCACGTCCTTTTGTGTTGTCAGGAACCTCTCCGGCCTGAACTCGAGTGGCTCAGACCACACACTCTCATCCCGGTGAATTTTCCACGCATTCACCATTAGCCGTGTTCCCGCTACCACCTTGTAGCCGCATGACAAGGTGCAGTCTTCCATTGCAGACCGAAGACCAATGAGTGGGGTCGTTGGGTACAATCGCATGGTTTCCTTCACAACAGCTTGGAGGTAGACAAGTTTCGTAATGTCCGATTCGTCCACCTGTCTATCCTTGCCTACGTGGGTGTCGAGCTCAGCTTGTGTCTTCTTCAACACGCGTGGATTGTTTAGAAGTAGAGCTAGGACCCATATGAGAGTAACCATTGTGGTGTCACTTCCTGCTAAGACTAAATTCTGCCAGAAAAAAAGGGCTTAATCAATTGCATGAAAGACAAAATTTGGTGGCTTTCTCTATCCTCATGTTAGTCCAATGAACTAAGAATAAAAATATACAAAAGGACAATGTTGACTTTGAATTTCCCTCTCTTGAGTTCAGAGTTTTACTTGTGAAGTTTTTAATTTGGTGGCTTTCTCTATCTTCACATGTTAGTCCAATGAACTAAGAATAAAAATATACAAAAGGACAATATTGACTTTGAACCACCAGATTTATGGCCTAACGATACAAGATTCTTATTTTTTAAAGGAAGATTAGAGTTCAAACATCAGTGGAGACAATATGTGTGAGTACCAACTAGGAGAAAAAAAAAAAAAAAAAAAAAAAATGTTGACTTTGACCCTTGAATGCAGAGTTTTACCTGTGAAGATTTTAATTTGGTGGCTTTCTCTATCTTCGCAGGTTAGTCCAATGAACTGAGAATAACAATATGCAAAAGGACAATGTTGACTTTCAATTTCTCTATCTTGAATTCAGAGTTTTACCTGTGAAGATTTTAATTTGGTGGCTTTCTCTAGTTAGTCCAATGAACTAAGAATAACAATATGCAAAAGGACAATGTTGACTTTCAATTTCTCTATCTTGAATTCAGAGTTTTATTTATTCCGAAAAATCTTCAAAGTAATCTAAAGTTATCCATATTCACTTGTTAAAAAAGTGTAGGGGCTCCTGATATTATGTGATTCTGAAAGATCATATGTACTTAATCTTACTTTTGTATGAAGAGATTGTTTTTTATTTTTAAATCTGTGATCTAAAGGTCATAATGAAATAATCTTACAAATGTAACTTACAATTTTTTTTTTTAGATTAATTTGAAATATCTGAGATTTACTCCGACTTCTTAACTTTCAAAACTATAGACCTACTTGGTTTGTAACTCTGAAAGCAATTATCAAGAATTCAGATAACAAAAAACTATTTTTCTTAAAGCAAACCTTTTTTACAACTTGGTTTTCAAAAAACATGTTTCAGAATACTAAATCTAAGTAAAATTTTTTTTTATAGTTTTAATTTTTAGAAAACTAATACACGAGAGTTTTTTTTGTATAGTTTTCAATTTTCTGAAAACAGAAAACTATTCTGTGTACAAACCAAGCAGATGCTATACTAAGTTTAGTAGGGATATACCAACGGGAAGTGGTCTAGTGGTATCGGTCTCTTACCTCTCAAAAAGAGATCAAGGGTTCAAGTTTCAAAAGAGATATGTGTGTGTAAGTACTAATTAAGAAAAAAAAGTTTAGTAGGGGTACAACTTACCAGGCATGTAGCCTTGGTGATGGTATCAGCGTCAAATTCAGAAATTTTTGCATTTTCAATAATACTCAGCATCACATCCATGTAATCCTGCTCTCCTTCGCCCTTTCCACCGAGCAGCCTCTTCTGTTTGTGCTCCTCCAACCACCCTCCGATCAGAGCGTCGAGTTCCTTCGCTGTACTCTTCATAGCTTTCTTGTATCCTCCCAAATCCAACCACCCAAGGAACGGAATTTCATCTGAGATCACAAAAACCCCAAACAGCTGAATAAAATCCCTCATAACCTTCTTGTACCTTCGCCTCTCCCCTTCGTCGCAATCATCATTGCTCCCACAGTACCGCTTCCCTCCCACCATTAGCACCGCCGCGTTGAGTGTCAAGTCTGCGAACCATCTCTTCATTTCAACCAAAACTCCACCTTTCGAGCTTCCCTTACTGACCCACAGCTCATACAGTTCTCTTATCGAAGTGTCCACCTCCGAGCCTCTTATGTGCTTGATCATCTCAATCCGTCGGTTAGACAGAAACTCCACCGTGGCTATCTTGCGCATCTCACGCCAGTAAGGACTGTAAGGCGCGAAGCCAAACATGGCGCAGTCATAACCTAATAGCTTTGAAGCAGTTATGCTTGGCCGGGTGGAGAAAACCTTGTCATGGACAGTGAAACACTCTCTGGCCATCTCCCAGCTGCTGATGACCAGACTTTCATGCGAACCGAGCTTTAGAGTGAAGGCCGGTCCGTACTTATCTGACAGAGCTCCCAACAATTTGTGTAACAGCTGACCACCAGCCAGGAGATGCAAGTGGCCTATGATAGGCAAAGCACCACCAGCTTGAGGCACACCATGGCTCTTCCTTCTAGTAGATTGTTTCTTTGTGTACAAAAATACTAGCAAGACAACGAGGCCGGTGACAGAAGTTAGGAGGAAGGGGAGAAGAGGATCCATAATGAGAGTGAGACTCAGTTTGTGTTAGCTAACTCCCATATCTCTGTACTTCTTATAGTTCCTGAGGCGCACATTTTATTTGTAAAATAAGTTTCTACTCGTAGTTTTTAAGTCTTTCATTTTCTCTGAAAGATCAGTGTAGTTTGTCCAAGATGACTCAGATGACTAGGTGCAGTGACGGAGGGAGGGGGGCCAGGGGTGACGATGGCCCCCCAAATTTTTAGCAAAATTTTAGTACTAGTACTAAATTATATATATTAGTAGTCATTTTTTTATATAAAAATTAAATCGGCCCCCCAAATTTTTTGTAAAATCTATTTATGATACTAAATTATAGTTATTAATGATAATTTTTCTAAAAATTAAAGTTGGTTCTTCAAAATTTTTGTAAAACCCTATTTATGATACTAAATTATAGTTACTAATGATGATTTTTATATAAAAATTAAAGCTCGTCTCTCCCAAATTCTAAAAAAAAAAATCTATTTATGGTTTACCTTATGATTATTGAAAGTGGTTTTGTGAATGAAATTATTTATAACTCTTCAAATTCGAATAAACATCTTGCTTTAAAAAATTCAAAATATAGTTAAAAAAATATATATATAGTTACTAATAGAGATTTTTTATATAAAAATTAAATCTTGCCTTTTTCCAAATTCTAAAAAAAAATTCTATTTATGATTTACCTTATAATTATTGAGTGTGGTTTGTGAATGAACTTCTTATTTATTTTTTTCTTTGATAGATATGGTTTGTGAATAAAATTACTTATAACCCTTTAAATTTGAATATATATACTGTTTTAATAAAATCAAAATATAGTAAAATAAATAAATAAATAAATAATAATAACAACTATTATTATGATAATCCTTATTGTAAGCTACTTTATTTATACACACACAATCGCATACATATCATATATATTATTTGTTATGAATTAGAGAAAAGAAAAAAAATTCTGTTGACACTTGAAAACTTCGACTGTTCTTAATTTACCTTATTTTTCTTTTCATATCATCTATAAACACATTCTCTTACTGTTAAAAATGAACTGAAAAAATCACGTAGTATTTTATTTTACTTTTAAAATTTGATTTTATATTAATTAATTTGGCCAACCCCAAATATTTTTTTTCTTACTAGGTGATCTCACAGGTTCTGGAAGATGTCCTCAAATTCAAAGAAGGTGGCTAGAGTCTTGTTCAACATCTGCATTCAAAGTTTACAATTGCTTGGATACTAGCGTCTCCTAACCTAATATTTCAACAAAAACAAAGTAGTGAGAGAGAATGAAAATAGCATCACGTAAGTATGAACTTGGCTTTCAAAAATGAATCAAATAATTACACGACTTTTCATTTTCTTTGAAAGACAAAGGTAACAGCTTTCAAAGAAAATTTCTTCTTCTTTGAAAAGTAAGATTAGCAGTGTATTTGAACCATGCAATTGTTAAGTTTATATTATAGTACTCGAGGCTTCCATTTTCTTTGAAAGATAAGATTAGTTAAAACTTTACTAACACACAATTTAAATATGTTATAGGACCATCACTGTCCTATATTTTAACCATTTGCCAAAGGTCATGTGTGGTGACCCACATGACCAAACATGGCTTAGCTATGGGGCAGATCTTCCAATATGTTCAAAAACATGCATTTTGCAAGTTAATAGACACAAAATATTGGTTATGCCTACCAAAGCCACCCAACCCATCAACAACACTTCAAAGTTTGGGGATCGAGAAACTATATTACAAGAGAGACAACAATCTATTCTCTAGAGTGATTGCAAAAGGAAAATATTTACATATCAAGCAAGGAGGTTTCAAGTCCGAAATGTGAGTCGTACGTAGCGGAATGTATATAGGACAGTTTTTGTTTGTTTTATAAAACAGATCTGTGTCCTAAACTACTTTATTTATTTTATATTTTAGCAATTAAACAGTTAATCACATGCAGATAAAATAAAGTAAAGTATAAAGTTAGAGATGACACCAGGATTTTAGCGAGGAAACCCCAGTTGATAAAATACGTCAATTATTATGGGAAAAACCTCGTGGACTTGTGCAGTCCAAAGTAAACCAATCCACTATGCTTGGAACAAAGTATACTGAACTTTGACTCTGGCTCACACCCTATCGTTCTACATCACACCAACCGCTGACAATCCTCTGGCTTTGCAACTCCTCATCCAACAGCAACTTGATCTCAGACTTACACTTGATATTTGTAAAAGAGTAGCAGGTAGATCAGACAGCACTCCACGAATGCTCCAATCCTTCCAAAGTGTGACTGCGTTTACTTTTGTTCTTCAATCGTCTGAATGATGTAAAAGAAGATCTGCTTCGTCTGATCGATGTTAATACGACTGTATGACCACAATCAGGATTCGAACACCACAATTCTAAACTATGTTTATGTGTATGTGTTCCAGAAAGATATCAGAAAAATCAACTCTAATTTTCTGCACAAATAATCTTCCTAAGGCTTTGAATAATATCTAAATTAGAATGTAAAAGTCATGAATAAACCAATGTATATGACATGGTTTATATAGATTATAGAATGACCTAATCCCTCTGAAAATAAGGTAAATTTTGTGCGTAGGATTTGGTACAATTCTAGACCAACTGGGAAATAAATCAGAATAAGGAAACTGCAATTGTATTGCATACAGGACATCTTGAACCGGTTCAAGTTTGGCAGTGTGTCAAACTTGAACATCTTGAACCGGACTTGAACCGGTTCAAAGTTGGCAGACTTGTGGATTTCGAATTCCTTCAGCCTTGGTTCATTCTACTGAAATTGTAGACTAACATGGAAAGTGTAGAATGTCCAACCTTGTTCATATTCCTTCCTAATGTAGTGTCCTTACGCTTTTCATCACAAACTCTTCAAGTATGGTAAGTTTGAACTCCTTCCCAGTTGTGTAATTCATGTTGAACTCGACGACTTGTAGGACGAGTATTTTAAATTACAACTCAACTTGGACTTGTTATGTCTACGATAATTGCCAATACATAAATAATATCTCACAATCTCCCCCTTTGGCAATATCGTGACAAAACCCTAAAAACAATATTTGTAATCTACCCAAAACAGAAAAGTAAATTACATGATTTGCTTAAAGGTAATAGGAACACTGTTCTTCTTGGATTCAAAACTTGACCTGTTTCCTGCACACTATCAAGCAACAACTACCAGTGAAGTTTAATAAATAGAAATTTAAAAACTCCCCCTGAAGTAAAAATCCAATTATATTTGCTTTAAGTTTTTATCTCTTTGTGATCTCCCCCTTTTTTGTAACAAATTGACAAAGGAGTGAAAAGAATACTAGAACAGTAAATTCCAATTCAAAGAAGTCAATGAAAGCACAATCCGGATAAGCATAATGAAGGTTATGAAAGCATGTTCCAGGAATATCCAAAAACAGAGACAAGTTGTGCAATAATTAAAACAAAACATGATGTCATGATGCATGATGAATAATCAATAAAAGCAGCACCATGTCCCCTTCACCACTCAGAGAAAACATCATCTTTAGTCTTCACCACTTTCTTCTTCATCCTCATCCTCCTCATCCTCATTTGTATATTTAGCCCCCTCTTCATCATCTCCCTCATCTTCAGCTTGCAGAGACGGATCTGGAGGCACAGGCCTGTAGACATCCTTATCCGGAACCCCAGATGGCTGTCCTCTTAGTTGAGCGACCTGTAATTTGAGATCTCGGATCTCAACCATTATCTTCTCAAATAATGAATTCTGATGCTGAAGTAGATGGGAATACATGAGGTTGGCATTAGTTTTCATGAAAGTCCCTCTTGTAGAAAATAGCTGAGTAAATTCTGAACTTTGTGACGGCCCTTCCTTAACAGATCTCCTCGCCCTTCTAGCATTCTCATGAGCAGTTTTTGACTTGTTCAAAGCGCGAGCGTCTAACTCAGTCATGATAGGCTTATGATTAGCCCTTGGAGGAATTGACACATTCTTCATTTTCAGAATTTCCATGATAATCATCGGAAAGGGAGAAGAGTACTTGCGCGAGTTTTTCCTGTAATAAGCTATCATAAGCTGCACAATAGACTCTCCAAGCATAATATACTCATTATTAGCAAGAAAATAAAGCACTTGTGCGCGCTCAAGAGAGATTTCATCCTTCTTCCCAAAGTAGTCCAGATTTGCCATAGCAAACAGATTGAAGAAAACAGTTTCATCTGTTAGAAATCGAGCTGGAATACTATCTCAGTTCAGTGAAAAGTTCGGCACACATATCTTTGGAACAATCCGGGAAAAATCAGGACTCGAGATTGTCAAAGGCAGAGTATGTCCACTCAAAAGACGACTGTCCTGAAGACCAATGATAGTTTCAATATCCTACTTTTCAATAGTATGATCAACTCCAAACAGAGATACAACGAAGTAGGAGTCATGAACTTCACGGATATTAGCATAGAAATAACTAATCATATCCGGACAATAAACACCTTTGCTGAGTCTAGTGAAATAAAGCCAATGATGAGCTTTGATGTAGTTTACTAGATCTTGTCCTGCAGTGTCTTGTAGCTTCTGTAGATTAACATTTCTCTCTATTTTGATTGGCCCATCCTTGTAAACAGAGTTATACACTCTCCAAGCCTCTTCATTATAAAAATGTGATGCTGTAAATTCAATCCTTCCAGTGCTAGAAACTGAAGGATATCGAATAGAAGCCATGCTTGGAGCTTGAGAACCGCCTTGAGGTTCTTGAATAGAAATGCCGGTTCTAGACCTCTTTGGTGGTCTAGGATTTGCAATTCCTTTTCCTTTAGCTTCTTTAGACAATTTAGGAGGCATGTTATTTACAAAATTTCTTACTTTGAAACTTTGAAACTCGTTCAGGAATTTTATCAAACACTTGGTGTGCAACCCCAAAAGTGTTTGTAGTAAACCTTGTTTTGATCTTAACTTCACCCCAAAATCAATCAACAAATGCAAAGTGGTATTTCCCAAGTACAATCAAGCTTCAATCTCTTCAAGCAACGCAATAGATTAACCAATCCTCTAAGTTCTAATCCC